CTTGTTAAAAACCACAATCATTTATGATGAAAAATGATATTGTTGAATTTTTGTTGAAAACAGCAGGTCCCATTGCATTGATACTATGCATATTGTTCATTTTCTAATGATATCTTCTGTTCTATAATTGAAATGTGCATTGCAAACAGCGGAGCTATCTCAGCCGAGAGGCTGCTAGTTTCCATTTTAATTGAAACATATTTACAAATAACAATCCATTGAAATACGAAATCAGATAATATTTATAATTTGCATTTATTGAAATCAATATTTTATGCAATGCTCGGTTCGAAGCTGGTGATTTATACATTCTCAAAATATTCCAAGATTATTAAATGCAAGGCGTTTGATTTACGAAGAGAAAAAACAAAATATAATAGACTTGTGATGTAGAAAATGTACTTAGTTATTTGTCCACAGTACCAAAACAACAGATTTGTCTAAATAAAACCCATCATTTTTTTTTCTATTTATGGCATCATCTGTCTGTGATGCCTAGAATGACACATTTACACAATGTATGTCAGCTACGACTACAAGTTTTTGTGGAATTCAAGAAAAAATACTAGCAATGGAGAAAATTAATAAATATGTATTCAATTTCAAATACTAGCGGTGAACAAATCCGGCAGCTGTGTTTGATGTTTTTCACTAGTTTCCAAATTTAGTACATAAACTTCCAGAATGCACTGTTTCCCTATGCACCTTGATGATCAATTGTTACAGCACCAATGGCAGCAAGTTGTCACCGGCCTCTGGATGTTGTGGGCCAAGAAATCATCAGTTTGCTTTCTTCTATGCAGTTTCACAATGAAAATTGAGTGAACGTTGTAAATATGGCTAAAATTTCCATTTTTGTTAGTTTACTTGCAATCTAATGTATATATATACATTTTTTTTTTATATATGTATATTTTGTTCATAATTACTTGCTACTTTAGTAAACTCTAAAAATATCCCAAACCCAGGGTTGGGCAACTACTGTTTTGTTTTTTTCGAATGGATTTTGTTCAGACTTGATACATACATTGGACATTGATGCATGTCATTTTGTTTTGTTTTTATTCGATTCGATTCAAAATATCTGAATGGTACCCATTTTGTTTTAATTAATGCTGTTCCAGAGCAATATCTTTCAATATTGACAAGTACTTGTTTGATGATCAGATAGAAGATGACTGAATGTCAATCATTTTACAGCAAGTCTCAGAAGTATTGGGGCAGGCAATTTGCAAACTCGCTAGCGAATTGGCTAACTGCTTGGGTTTTGACTAAACAGTTGGATTTTGAATCTCACTGGCACAGTCTTGTGGTAACGCCCACTCTGGGAGAATCTATATAACAGTAGGGGATGGTCGTCATACTTTAGAAGCTAATCAGCCACAGTTCGATGACAATCTGCTTTCAAATATACCAGGGAAAGTGTTTTATGTGTAAATATGTCGATTTTTTTTAGCGGTTGGCTAATGTTACCCAGACGAATCATTTAGATGTGAAAGTTTGTCATTTTTTTCCTGATTTGTAGGAAACTGTTTATCAACGTGTCTCTTTATTTAGTTTCAACATGGTTTCAAGCAGTGTTCAAGATGGCTACCCCATATAGTAAATATCGACGGATTAATCGCATTTGTCATATTATCGCCATTCTCAGGCTTACCAGAGAAACTACTTTTACATTATCACGCCTCGTAACAAAGTAAATCATTCAGGGGAATCTAGACATGCTCCTAACAGGCTACGTAAAATCATTCTATGTCCCCTAATGCAACTTAGACTCGGCAATGAGTCGGCGCCAGCGAGATTCGAAAGCCAACAGTCAAAGCCAAAGCAGTTAGCCAATTCGCTAGCGAGTTGGCAAATTGGCTGCTCCAATACTTCTGAGACTTGCTGTAATGTTAAAAAATCATCATAATCAAGCATCAGTTTCTGAATCCATATCTCGGACACGTTTATGTTTCAACTATATTACTATAAACAAAACCATACATCTTAAATTTGATGGTTCTGTGCCATGCATGGCTTGTTTCTTTTTTACTTTTTAAAAAATGCAAATCTGTTTGCTTTAATACTAGGTGTATATGTACCTTGGGTAGTCTTCTTAGATTTGTTTGTTTCATCATGATATCTTTAATTCCCTAATTTTGATGAATATTTTTGTCAGTTTGGGAAAAAGGGATATTTCGGACTTGTTAAATAAATTAATTTCTCTAATTGAACTGTGCATTGCTTACAGCAGAGTTTTCTAATCCTGTTATATCTTTATGTATAGTATACAAACTCATCCCACTACTATGATGTAACCTTCAGAAACACAACACTAGCACCATCTGCATTTTAAAAGTATAAGCAATAATTACAAACTCTCACAGAGGAAAATATTTGAGAGGTAGAAACGTTATTGAGAAAAATGGGTTTAAAACGAGTCAAGTTGCTAATTCGTCAAGAATACTATACGACCAATATTGAGTGAATAGATACATGTATAGCTAGTCTGCTGTCTACCGTATTAGTGTCGATACCTTAATTATGCAGAGTAAATGCAAATGTCTTGAGTCACCAGGAAGCATAACCTATGTCTACTTTGGATATCAGACTGACTGGGGAGCATGAGGATTTGAAAATGTGCTCTAAAATGCCTTCTTCATCCTGAAGCTAACATTGATTATATATTTTGCAAACTCAGATTGTCTTAATGCTGTGTACACATAGGTAATTTCTATAATTGTGATAATTCCTGTCACCACTGGAATCTGGTTGCCTCGTATGAACTTTGGACAAGCTGACATGCTCAGTCATATGGCACATGTTACAGTGATTATATTCCACTAGATAATTTTATTTCCTTGTATGTGTTAAATTCATTGACAGCTTGCCAAGTATACGAACGCGTTATATTTACCTATTGAGTATTCGTGTTATATAGTTGTGTGATACTGTGTGAAATCCAGTTGACTCAAATTAATGCCATTGTGTGTTGTCATCTTCTGATGTTTATCATGATATTGCCTGAATGAGAATCATTTTGGGTCAGTGATTCACTGTAAGATTCATTTTGTGCTTCCGTTTACAAGAAATTTGAATTCTAATCAAGCCAAGTTCCTTGATTTTTAAAATAGCATGTACTTTTTTCACACAAGGCAGGAGTATTTTTTTAAATGGAAGATTATACTGAAGAGGTGATGATACTGTGAAATGTTTTTACAAGTAAGGTTCATGGGAATTGATGGAATAGGTGCAGAGGTTTACCTTTGTGTAGTAATGTATGACAATTTAGTTTCAGCATGTCAATGTTTTTCTGGTCGGAAATGTAGGCTTTTTCACTATTGTTACGATAACAAAAAAAAGATCTTAATTATCTTATAATGAAATAAATTTCTGAAAGTAATATTTTGCACACCAGAATGTTCAAACATGGTGAATAATAAGACGGGTGATTGATAACAAGTAATTAGTTTTTCTTTTCGCGTCACTTGCTATAAAAGATGTGGATAACATCTTGCTTATTTGTAGATAAGTTACCCTTTATTTCAACTTGAAGCTATGTTAATTAAAATATCTGTAATTCTTGCATCATGACCACACTAGTACATCAAATATTTTAACAACAAAATGCCGAAGGTGGTGCCTTCGACAATAATATGGTACTAATTATTTACTCCATTACCCAGAAGACGCCTAGCTTCCTGTCAGTAGAGGGCGCTCAGAGTGACAACTTAAACTACTATGCCGAGTAGGATCTATTTTTGGAAAATATTTTTTTTTAATGAGACTAACTAATATACAAATTATTCAGTTGGAATTTTATCTTGATCAGTTTAATTTGTCCATGCTAGTAACACTAGAACCAGGCGCTAAGTAATATCCTAAAATAAAATGTACAGGTCTGTGATAAATAAATTTCTGAATTTTTATTTCTGACAAATATAAACATTATATTAACATAGATTTACTTTATTCTACAGCAAGAATTATTCGTTCCTGTTTCTACGTCATCTGGGCAAGCGCAGCCAAATGCAAATATTGGAAACGATCCGGACAGTCGCATGGTAAGACAAAGACAAGCACAGGAAAAAGCAAATCGGATATGTGCAGAAGCTATGGCTAAAGCACAAGCAGCTGGATTGCAAACAGTACCACGTGTTGTGCATACACCTGAATTGCCAACAGATATTACAGAGGAGAAGCCCATGTCCAAATCTAAAGAAATCAAAAAAGAAGCTTCAAAGCCTAAAACAAAGAAAACTGTCATAAAAAAGAAAATTATCAGGTAAGAACCACCATGATTTTCAGAATCTTGAAAAGCAATTTGCATGCCAGTGCAGTACTGTAAATTCCATTTCAGGATGCCTATAGTCTTGATAATTTTGTAAATTAATGGGAAATTTTCACCCCTTTCAAGTCATTAAGCATCTTTTAACTACTATACTCTACTGTATTGTATTGTATTGTATTGCATTGTAATATAATTATCTTTGTGCCAAACTAGTTCAAATATTTAATTGTACACTAAGTCCCATCCTAGCCTTGACCATGATTGTAATCTCCAAAGTTTGACTCTATGGTATGTTCAATATCTGTCCTGGTTTGAACTTCATAATCACTGTATGCAATGTGCAAGTCAAAATGCTCTTCATATTGTCTCCTTGTAGCATTTTAATTGCACATTATTATTAATTACTATAATTTCAAATCCTGGCAATATCAAAGGAATTTATTTTATTTACTATATATTTTTTTTTAAATTGACACTATAAATTTGTTTCTATCGTCTAATAAGCCATCAACATTTTTGCTAGAACCATTTAATTATTTGAGGTCATTGTGAAGATGAAATTTAAACAAAAATGCAAGCCTTCATGTCCTAGTAGTCATGAAATGTTTCTGACACAAAATGTGTGATGCAGACTTACAAAATGTGTGAAATTGAAGTAGTTATTATTAGTAATATTATATCTAATTACTCAGCTGACACGCAAGTTCTGACTTCCCAGCTTCTGGTGGGTACATGCTTGTATATCCATCCAAGTAAGACTACCTTTATAAATAGGGCTAAAAATTAAACAAAGAATTGTTAGAATTCTATCTTGGTTATCTGTTTTGAAGAGGTCATCATGCTGTTTTGTGTACCACATAGATATGTGACTAATCATCGGCATAGCTGTTTCATTTACACATGGTATAAGCTACAAATAGAGATTAGAGAGAGGGAAACTAGCCTTGTAATTTCTAATTATTAGTGCAAGGAGGTTAGCCACATTTGAAGTGTCTCTTCACCTTGTACAATTATGAAGTAGTTATTTTGCCACCTGCTGCCTTTTATACATACTAGTACCCTGCTATGAAAATATTAAATATTTTGCTCTCTGATTAGTAACAGATAATACTCCGGTTGCAAATCTTTTCTGTCAGTCAGCCATAATGTCCCTATTCCTGTTTGTGTATCTTAATTTGAAATAAGTTCAAATAAAAGTGTATGGCTCCAATAACCCCTACCCTACAATATACATTTTGTTGCCTACCCTAAAGTTTTTTGTGCCAAACATAAAATGGTGTAAAATCGCACAAGATTTCAATGAGACTGTAATAGACCTGAATATTATCCTAAATTTTGGGTCAAATTTTTACAGTAAACATTGTTAAACATGTCTAAAAAGAGAAAAAATTCAAATCTGACCTACCCCCACCTATTTGAAGTGTATCCGAAGCACGCAGTTCATCTTTTTTGGTGGGGCCTAATACTATTTGCAGAGATACTGGTACAAACCTATTATATACTACTAGTTCACATTGTCTTTTGTATTCTTTCTTTGTAAAACATTTTAACTTGGATAGTTGTTAATTTTATATTCAAACATTTTGATAAGATGGCAATAGTCATACACATGTCAAAATATTTTAGTTGATTGGCAAAAAATTGCCTCTTTGTAATGAGTGTCCTCATTGCCTTTGGTATTTGCATAATCTTGATTTGACAATTTAGAAATGTTAAAAATAAAATCGACCTGTACAAATATTCTGATCATATGTTAACCTTTCTGCCACCAGTTCTCTATTTTCATCACAAATTCACAAAATAGTCCCATTTATAGTCTGCATTTCCGTCAGAAGATTGGGACAAAAATAGCCAAATTTGTTGAGTAAAAACTGAAAATTGTTAGCAAAATTATGATTCATTTCTAGAAATTTTGAAGTATATAAAAAAAAAAATTGCAGAACAGTTTCGGCGAGAAAGTCTTGTGGTGAAAAGGTTAAACACCCCCCCCCCCCACTCAGGCCTTGTGAAGTTTTATCTATGTGGCAAGCATGAATTATGGTAGCAGATGGTAGACAATTGGAGGTTTTAGTATGCAGACAGGATTCTGGTGGTGTTTCTCTGCAAGCAGAAAACAAGTTTTTGCCCTTGTTGACCTCTTGTTTGGAGAGTGAAATGTTAGCTGTTCATATTTTCAGTTGATTCTTGTGATCGCCAAGAAAGATTGCATTCATATCTGATGTACAAATACCTAAAATGGATCACTCAGATTTGTTAATTTTTGCTAATAAATGTTCAACTTCCTCTCTTTAATATTTGATATGTATGTATCTTGGGAGGCGGAACAAAAGTTCAACCAAAAATGATGATTTTTAGTTCATAGTTCAAACTGTATCATTTGTGAAAGTGAAACACTGGTGTAATATTAAATTTCCCTTTCTGTGATAACTTTGTTATCCACTATATCATATCAACTTTATGTCCACTTTTTAAAATTATTTGATCATCATGACACTACATTTAATTTTAACACCTACAAACCTTGGTGATAAACTTTAGTGGACTAGTGTGATCTTCCGTTTCAAGTTTTTCTTCTTGTAGTTGAAAGTTCTCTGATTTTTGTATAAAATGTTAGGTAAATTTCAAGACAAAGTAAAAAAAATCAATTGTAATTATTCACTACTGAAACTTTTGTAGCAGTGAAAATATCACTGGAGCAGGAAATTTGGCATTTGTGAAAGCCCTAAATTTATCTATTTTAAAACTTTTCTTGAAATTCTTTCACTTGCCAGCTTCTGTTAAACCTCGTTCTAAATTTGAAGCTAATTTAGCATTTTATGACAACATTTGCAAGTTATCAACTCTTGAGAAATTCAAGTGCTTGCTACGCACTAAAGATAGCTTCATTGTCAATTGCTTGGGAACATTTTTTTATTTTATATCTAAGCTTTAGTTTAGTTTAGTCTATTGTTTTGTTTGTGTTTTTCTTGACCATTGATTTATTGTATGTTTTTTCATTCATACTAAATTTTGTGTCAAATAAAATATCTATCTATATAAACTTTCGTCACAAATCGTACAAAAAATGTGGTTTCAACAGTTCATAAAAATTGGGTGGTATTGATGGTAAATTATTCCAGAGAGGATATAGTTTGTAATGGTAATACTTTGCTGTCCAAATCTGCTCACATGGTCAGTGATGAGTTATGTGGTACACTGAATAAAATTAATTGGAGAGTTCATGAACTATGGGATGTTGAATATGCTTGGAATAATGCATTTGGGTGCTGCTTGATGTTGGAGCAGATGTTTGTCTTTTTGTTGATGGTAGTTGAAATGTATGAAATTTGAAACTTTTGAAGTTTTGTAATCAACACATCAAGTGCATTTTACACCTGTATGTAAATTTCTTTGTTTGAATGAACTTCAAGTAGAACTGTATGCAACAATTGCCTGGGGACATATTGTATGCTTTGTATTGCAATTACACAATAGCATTGTGAATTCTTAGTTGTTCACTACTTGTTCTTGGGTATTGATGTACAGGTTGTAGTTTTAATATAGATTTTGAAATTTGCTCTTTGAATAAATACTGAAACTTGAATGAAGACCATCAGGGTTGAAACAATTAATGTTTAATCGAGGTAAAGACTGATGTTTCAGTTACACAGGGTACTGTTTTCTATGCATCATTGAAATATTAGTGAAGTATTTTTTTTTTACATTTGTAATTTTTTTAACACTTACACATTATAGTAAAGTATTGTAATAGCAGACAACATTGTTATGTAATCGTTATTGCAGGATATAAAATAAAAAATGCACCCCATATTTAAAAAATAAAAAAACATAAAAAGATACGACAAATTAATTCAATTCAGATGTGGGCTTATTGTGTTCCTTTGGCAGTTTATTTTTTTTTTGAAAAAATAATCATCAGTTTTTGACAACACAATAATGCATCAACATGACCATTCTAAAATATTAATGTCTTTCTTTATTCTTTGAATTTCAATTGATCCTGCATATAATGTCAACACATTTAGATTAGAGTTTGTGAGGTTGGCTTTGCATATTCTCTGGTTTATCATTTACTCTTAGTTAAATCAGCAATAATAGAATTCAGTGGGAACTACATTTGTTTTGGCATTTTCAAATAATTTTTCCTCTCTTCAGAAGACCTCCTCCAAGACCAATTGCTATAAAGAAGTTCAGTTTGAAAAAAAGAGTAGGTGGTGAAGGCGATTCAAGTGATAATGGGTCTGATCTAGATGAAACACCGCCCCCTTCTCCAGAAGATATAGATGGACTAAGTTTGAAAAGGCGATCATCTAGAAACACTGGAAATAAAAGAAAACGTTACACTGAAGATTTTGATTACAATATATCAGACGAAGAAGATAAAGACGTGGATGTGGAAGGACTTGGAGGAGATAATAATAATGGTGCTACATTTTTCCAACCTGCTAAATTCTTTGTGGTAAGTAGTTTATAAATACAGGTATTTACTTGTGCAGTCTTGACTTTTTAGGTGACAGTTAGCTCTCTGAATTTGAATAGCCACACTTCAGTAGTTCTGCTGATGGCACTTCGTGGAGGCCTTCAATCTGAGAACTCTGCAAAGAGAAGTACAACACTGGAAGGGTCTCTGTGTGGTAGTAGGAATAGCGTTAGTAGTCAATAACATCAGTAATTCAACTGAGAACACAAAAATTGTCAAAAAATTAATACTTTACTTAAATATTGAAGGTATGAATAAATTTTATTTGACAAACAAACCAGGGATGATTTTAAAAAATTTCAAAACTATTTTTTTAAATGTTGAAATTTTACTTTGTGTTGCTTGAATGTTTATTTTTTTAACATAGCTTCAATCTGGACCATCACAATGTGCAACTGACTTGCTTTCATTTCTTTGGCTTTCTATAGGAAAATCCAGATGAATCAGAATCTTTCATTGTTGATAAAATTTTATCATGTAGACAAAGGTTAAAGGAACAGATTCCAGGAGAAGCACAAGTCGGACATGTCGAAGAATTCTTTGTAAAATATAAAAACTTGTATGTATCATTTATGGTTTTCACTGTTTTGTTCAGGTCACCAAATTTGTAAACTTCAAGAAATGGAGAAGTACTGTAAAATCTGTATCTGAAGCCACACCCCCTAATAGAAGTCGCACCCATTCTTTTTGAATAATTGAGAACCAAAAATCATGATTTCTCATGTGTAGATGCTCTAATAGAAGCTGCATCCCCTCTATTGCATTTTAATAGTAGCCATTGTTTCCAATACAGATTTTACAGTAATTTAGCAACGTGCAAAATTGTCTTTGATTAGTGGTAGTGGCCTTGCTGCTGTGGAATTTGAATTGTGTAATCGTGTAAGAAGATATTTATACTTAATTTGTAGTGAAAAGTGTATATTAAATTTTCTTACAGTTCATACTTGCATTGTGAGTGGGCAACTGTGGACAAACTTCAACGAGACAAGAGAATTCATATGAAGATCAAGAGATTCAAAGCTAAGCAGTTTAATATCTTTCAAGATGTAAGTACAGTATTTTTCTTGTGCTCATCTTCAGTGACAGAATCCTCCAAGTGTCGTCTTTGGAAAAATTTTGCCCTTGTGTGACATCAGAATCAGGAGTATTCATTTGGTTCTTGTTCATGTCTGTTATAAGCAATTTATCGAACAAACTTGAAAGATTTTGTCAAATATATGCCAATTTTGTGTGTGATTATGATTGTTTATAGCCATTATTCTGACACATTTCCATCCCAATTCTTGGATAATTCTTTCTCTACTTTGAATCTTGTATGGTGTATAAAGCAAAATGCTTTGAGACTAACATAGTAAGGATATTTCTATTTTCAGTGGGATGATGAGCCATTCAACCCTGATTACGTAACTACAGATAGAGTATTGGATATAACTGAAAGCGAGGATCCTTACACAGGGCAAACTGTTGTACATTGCCTCGTGAAATGGTCTTCGCTGCCGTATGAAGACAGTACATGGGAGCTGAAAGATGACGTAGAGTATGATAAGATACTAAGATACTATGAAATCAATAAAATACCTGAACCTGAAGAAAGACTAGTAAGTGTGAGAGCAGCCATTTTGTTTCTATAAATGGGCTCGTTTTTGACATGCATGGGCCAAGCGAGCCATTTACCCTTTGTACGCTAATCAGCATGGAAAACATGTTTGATTCAAATTAACTGGTGGAATTTACCATATCGCTTGCTTGAAAGCCTTCACCGATAGTTAAAATGAATTAGCAGGGGGAACAAACTGCAGCAGGCCATAGTGTTTATTTGTGAAGAGCTCAATCAATCAGTCCAGAACCAGGCATGGGGTTCAAACTTGTGTCATCACAACATGTTTAAAACCTTTATCCTGCCAGCCCCATGACTTGACCTAATAAGGGATATAGGTATAAATTGCCCTCAACCAAATCACATACCAAGATTCACCACCAGCAGTCATGGCTATTCAGTGGTCTTTAGCACAAAGAATAATACCAAGTGTTTTTATTGCAGCGTGTTGAAAGACCTGGAGCTGATGAATGGGAGAAACTTCCAAAAACTAAAACTTATAAAGAGGGTAATTATTTACGTGAATATCAGTTGGAGGGTGTCAACTGGTTGACATTTAGCTGGTATAATGGGTAAGTATTACAATAACACAATAACATTTCCTGTGCAATGTTTCTCCCACAGAATCCATGATTTAGGGCATAATTCAATGTTTGTTCATGTTTAAAAATGTCCACAACATATGGAATACACACAAAAAAAATTCTAATTTCTAAACTGAGCTGTTAATGATGATATAGTTTGTCCCTCTCTGAGTGGAGCAAGAAGGCTCAAATGCTTATAAACCAAACGATTCACTTTTCTGAAATGAGCGCAGTTCTAAAACATTCATTAAATGTTCAACGAAAACTGTAACATGACTTATTTTCACTGGGTTTAAATTTCACTGATTTACCATTTCAGGCATATTCAGTGGGTTTTAAATTCACTGTTTCGTCATTTAGATGTGTTCTATGCTAAATTTTACATATTCACTGGGTTTTAATTTAGCGCACTTTCCAGTCAGCGAAATGAGCTAAATTAAAACCCAGTGAATAATTACCCCCTTTACAGTATTCAAAAATTCATAATTCAGGAGTATTTTGCGAGTCTGTCAAAACTTCACTTCCACAATATTTTGCATTTCTTATTTTATTCATTCATGATTGTTGAAAACACTGTTATGTTATGTCTTTTTGTTATGCAGACAAAACTGTATTTTAGCTGATGAGATGGGTTTGGGTAAAACCATCCAGTCGATAGCTTTCTTATTGGAGGTATGGGAATATGGAATTAAAGGGCCGTTCCTGATTATAGCGCCATTATCAACCATAGCGAACTGGCAAAGAGAGTTTGAAACCTGGAGTAATGTTAACTGTGTAGTACATCATGGCAGTGCAACAAGTAGAAGAATGATTCAAGAGTATGAAATGTACTTTAATAATGAAAAGGTCAGTATTTAAAGCTCTTCATGGGTACATGCATCAAGTCTGTAGAGTATAAAGTACACATGCTGCTACACACTCGTTTTAACCCAACAAGTTTTTATTAATTTTGTTTGCTTATTGTTTTGGTAAAAATGTACTCATCACCATAGTTTTGGACTGAAACAGGTTTTTTAAAGACATTCCTTGTGCCTTGTATACTAGAATCTGTTCAAATGTCATTGGTGCTTTTGATTTCTCACCAAAACTTGTTTAAAGTTTGTCCTTGTTTATTTATCTTGCAGGGTCAAAGGATTCCTAATATATATAAATTCCAAGTGCTGGTGACAACATATGAAATTATTTTGGCTGATAATGATCTGCTTAGTCAAATTGAATGGAGATGCGTTGTTATTGATGAAGCTCACAGATTAAAGAATAAAAATTGTAAACTTTTAGAAGGACTCAGATTGTTGAATTTTGTAAGTACTTCACTTATTGATAACATGTTGCTGCGATCAAACCCTAACCTAATCAGTTAATTATACCACATTTGCTCTATTACAAGTGTGTTTTTAAATAGTGATGGATATAATAAAATTTATTTACATAAATGAATGAGTCAAATTCAGTATCACATTAGCTCTGTTAGTAGCACATGTGCTTATGTAAATAGTAGGATTCAAATAAGATGTTTTTATTTGTAGCGTTAGATTTATTTGACATAATTGCTTGTGATATCAGATACATTTTGCTTGTAGCCTTTGGCATTTAGGGTATTTGCAAGATATCAGTCAGAAGTTGTTTACAAATAGCCAAACATTTACATAGATTAAGTTATGATAGTTTTCAGCATCTTAGGAGTCAAGTCCAAATGCATGCATGACTTTCTGACCGATAATTCAAATATTATCGATATTAATCATTTCCGATAGGGTTGTTTGTTATGACCGTCTTTTTCCAGTAGTTGTGTATTCTAGGTCTCTTCCTTCTAAATTTATGACATTTGTTGTCACTGCGCCCAAGCAAACATCAAAACATTTTGTTCTTTCTAAGCTGTGCATATTCTAAAGCCAGATTCAATAACATTTGGGATTTTAAAAATGTGCTGATAAACTATATATTAGTTGCAGAGTGACAAGTTCCGACAGGTTTAACTTGTGAACTCCTGATTTTAGTTCATGGGTCAATTTATTGCGCATGTTGAAGAATTTTAAAAGAATTTTAGCAGATAATACATTGAGTATGGACCATTTTCATTTATTTATCATTACGAATTGCTCTCCTCCTGCAGTACTTTGAATACCCACATACCATGTTGAAGAATTTGCCTGACATCGTACTTGATAATGTGATAAGTGTGGCCTCAAGAAAACCTCCGTTCAAAGAATTACATCATGACACACTGTACTTTGTTGTGGTTAATAATCTGTGCATTAGGCAGTACTTATAACTGTATGTTATTGGTTACAGGAACACAGAGTACTTCTTACGGGTACGCCTCTACAAAATAATGTGGAAGAGCTTTTTAGTTTACTTAACTTCTTGGAACCAGATCGTTTTGGTTCTCTATCAGCATTCCTTCAGGAGTTTGGTGACTTGAAGACTGAAAGTCAAGTGGAAAAACTGCAACAGGTAGATTTTTTTTATGTATACATGTAGATCAACCCAGCTATTAAA